AACCGGTTCTTATTTCCTTCAGCCATCTCACTTCCCGCCTCGTTCAATAAATCGAACCAATACCAGTATTCATCGCCATTTTTGTCTTGCTCAAACCAAATCCACCCCGCTCAGATCTTTCATCCTGTTCAGGCCACCTTCCTCCTCCTGAACGCCAGCAGAACCGTTCCTTTGCCAAGCTGAATCCATCTCAGATACGCCATCTGGCTGGTCGTAGGGTGACCCCATCAGGATACGTGTGATCTTCTGAGGGACACTTCATGCCTTCATTATCAAAGCCTGTGGGCTGCTTCACACACAACCCTCATACCCCAACAGCGTTTAAATGTGCACTGAAGAATATAAAGTGTGAATGGCACAGAAAACAGAAAGAGAGCTCATATATTCGTAAGGGGGAATGGTCAGATTGATACTGTGTACCATGTACAATAATTAAACTTCCAAAAAGCCTTGCTTCAAACAGTTGTCCACACTTTCATTCGTGAAGTTGCTGTACTTTTCAAAAGAACTGTATTAAAGTGAAATCTTTACAACTACGCACACTCGCAGGACTCTTAACATATCCGTTGCCTGGTTACAATCTTGGGGCAAATCACCTGAAAGAATAATTAATCCATGCCCGCCTTTGTATCCTATTTCCTTGTTCCTTGTTCCCTCTGCTCACAACACAAATCTGAAATGCATTGAATGACACGGCTGGATAATTTGCAGCCATGGAAGAAGATTTCATGGAAAGCAGTTTGAGGAGCAGAGAGGATGAAGCAGGTACTTGGGCACGTTCTTGGGCTGCTTTGATCTGGGAGGGGCTGAGGACCAAAAGTCTCCAGCATTTTCTTTTCCTTTAGCAAGACTCCACCACCACCAATGCTGTCTTTTCTGATCTTGAATTATGCTGTCTGCAGACAGAATCCTAGGAAGTGACCGTTCTCTGATTTTGATTAAATGTGAAGAGCTCTGCTGTATGTACCGTTGCAGAGCAACTTTTTAATACCAATAAAAAAGATTTATGTGTAGCTCAGGGTTAAACTATGGAGTCCTTGGGGTTCTGTGTAAACAGAGAGCAAGCCCCACTCCTTTCTAGCACTGAAGATGTCATCTAGTTGGGTAACAAAATGTCTGCAAGAAAACAACCAAGCTCAGAGAACCCAAGGACTCCACACCTTTTTAATAACATGGGGAAACTTGTTTGGGAAACGCTGTCCCATTTGGATGTCTGAATCCTCTTATGTGGAAATGTTATAATCAGTGAAATGCAAAATTTGGACAAAACTCTCAATGATCAACAACCACACTTAACTTGCAGTGGAGGGGGACAAAGACTGTTGTGGAGAGGATGGTGAAGCACCATGGGCAAAGCCAAAGCACAAGATCTTTCAGGGTCTCAAAATAATTTTGTGATGGGTTGGTATTTTATTTTGTTTTTCACACTCTGTTACACCTATTTTAGGTCTACGTTACAGGTTTGTTTCTGTTTCCCATATTAAGAAATGGAACGAAATAGTGCTGTCTTTGTCTAGCACTTGTACTACAGTACTATAATTTGACACCATGGTTAGAAGAGGCTCTGGAAAGTATAGAAAAAAGAGTTCTGGGGTCACATATTGAGTTAAGACTATAAGTTGCCTGGTCCTGCTTACAGGAATCAGAAGGCAAGGGGAGAAAGACACTCAACAAGAGCATTTAGAGAAGAAAATGGCAGTGGTGTCACAAGCTTCTACAGTAGGTCCAAGCTGGGACCTAGAGAAAGAAGAATAGGATGTATCTGTGAAATATCTGTTTTCTTCCAAACCAGATGGATTGCATCTCTCTGTTCAGTGTGGCTTACTCTGAGATTAATTCCTTTGGTTGGGAATTGTGTACAACTCTGTGGTTGTACAGTTCTTTATGAAGTAGGTCTTAATAAGCTTTGGGCCCTTCCTCATCTGCTTAAATTGATCTCCCAAGTGAGATGCATTTTAAAATGGAAATGAGGCATTTCTCTGTGGCTGGTGTTTGCCTTCCTTTTGAGTAGGCAAATATTCTGGGTCAGTGTGTGTATTTGGAATTATCAGAGAACATTGTGGATGTTCTTACCAAAACAACAACAAAAAACCCAATCCCAGTCCTCAAAACCCCTTATGTGTGGAAGGGATCGTAGGTATGCACAAGACAGTTGGGCGCGTCCAGAAGAGCATCTGAGAACATACTTTTCCCCAAGGACAAATGAGTGAGCTTATTTCTTGCCAACATTAACCCCTCAAGATCCTCCCTACCTCCCCAGCTTGTCTTTTTTCCTTTTTCCTTTTTTTTTTTCTCGTTTTGCCTAGGCAGATAGACACACTTCAGAGCAAATCACTCACCTGCAACTTCTTTGTTTTTTCAGAAAGTTTTGGATCCCCACATAGGCCTCAGAGGTGTTTTTGTGAATAAAGATAGTGCTGGGGGTT